TTCTCCATTCCTAGCCTAGAGTATAAGCTCCATAAGGACATGAATTTTTGTCAGTTGTTCACTATCATATTGCTATTGCTTAGAATAGTGCCTGGCAATATAGAAGGTGCCTGGTAAATATTTGTTGAATGGATGGATGGATGAATGAGTGGCAAAAAAACTGGAAGTAACTTACATGGCTCACTAAACATTCTAGAAATTATTTAGTAAATTATTTTACATTCATTAGTATGAAATATTGAGTTATTTTAAATACTTGCAAAATCTGTAATCTTATAGGGAAATACTCTTGATAGAAAATAAAATTCTGTTCACACTTCAGCAAGGGTTATTGAGTGCCCACTATGGAGAAGTATAACACAGTCACTAAGTGTTCTAACTATAGTCAGACCCAGATTCAAAAACTTTCACAGCTGGCCCACCATCTTTCACATACTTCCTGCTTCCTTGAGTGTTCATGTTTCTGTAAGGAAGAGAAGACCCACGACCAGGTTTCTTTTTGACTCATTTGTCCAGATTATCAGCTATATCTAAGGCTGTTTCCCCTCAGTCATGAGTGGTGGCAGGAACAATAAAGTTTATTTTCCTTTCTTCATTCAAGTAAGAAAGAAAGAGAGGTACAGGGACAGACTGAGTGTTTTCCGAAAGGGCAAGGAACTTCCCTTTCAGTAGCCCCTAGAAAATCTTTCAAATTTTACTAGTCTGAATTAGGTCATGTGCCTACAGCTAAACACTATGACTGAAGGAATGAGATTACTCTGATCAGTTTGATCCAACCCCATCTCTGGAGTTAAGGAATAGGTCAGCTTTCACTACAGGCCCTAATGGCCTATTTTTTGTTTCTACTTTTGGCACCCTAAGCCAACAAGACCTCCTGGGGTAAATGCAGTCACATGATTAGGACAGCAAATTTTGACATAGAGTAATAAATTTAACATCCTTACTTGGATGTCCCATAGCAGTTCACACACAGTGTGTTTAAAATTAAACTCATCAACTTCTCAACTAGCTCCTATAAACCCAATCTCAGTATAATAATAAATAAGACATGGTCACTGACTTCATAATAACTGTGTCTGAAAAGAGATATCAGATAGGGAATTAGTCCATAACTACAGGTATTTTTAATCATATGAAAAAGATAAATAAATGAAAATAGTTATTATTCTCTGGTTAGCACGTTTCGTGTTTTCCCCTTACGTTATTTAGTTAATTTCCATTCATGTGGTTATATAACATGTCAATTATCAATAAGAGATTTGCAAAGAGAAAGAGTTATGTGCAACAACCCTAATTTATGGTCTCCTGTGTGGAGGTTTTATTACTGGTATAGAAATGTGTTCATACTAGCTGCTTCAAAAATGCATGGTCTCTGTTTATGAATGATCTTTCTCTAGAAGTTACTGTAGCTTATACAAATATGTTTGTTTTGCCTGTTTTAGATTTTTAAAAGGCTTTCAGGGAGCAGAATGTCTTCATTAATCTTAATTAAGTAATATGCTGTTAGTTAGCTTAGTATCTGCAACATTCCAGTCAGTATCATTATGCTAAGTGCTAGAGATACAAAAATAAATACACACTGCCCTCAGAAAGCTTACAGTTTATTGGAGAGGTTAGATAAACCAATAGTCAGCTATAATACAGTCTGACAGATGCCATAGCAGAGGTGATCACAAATTGAGATTAAATTTGTATAATGATTGCACTGTGAATTATGGTTAAACTGATCTTTTTAATTCACAGAATCTTTCTTCAGTTCGTGTGGTAGTTTACATAAACTAAGTGAAGAGCCACTGATTCCTCCTCCACTTCCTCCTCGAAAAAAGTTTGATCATGATGCTTCAAATTCCAAGGTAGTCAATCGGACGTAGGGTTTGCCTTACTCATCTCATTCAAGGTTGTAAATCTTTAAAACTGTGTTTATTCTTATAAAGAGTCTCAAAATCTGGTGACCCTTTATGGTTTTTAAATATTTGTGTGGTTTTATTCAAAAAATACTTTTTAAAAAGATATTATTTATTTATTTTTAGAGAGAGGAGAAGGGAGGGAGAAAGAGAGGAAGAGAAACTTCAATGTGCAAGAGAAACAATGTCCATTGGTTGCCTCTCACATGCCCCCAACTGGGAACCTGGCCCACAACCCAGGCATGTGTCCTGACTGGGAATTGAACCAGTGACCTTTCGGTTTGCAGGCCAGCACTCAATGTACTGAGCCACACCAACCAGGGCTATTTGAAAAATAAGTAATTGTTTAATCCTCATAATTCTTTTTCCTTTAAGATTTTATTTATTTATTTTATTATTTTGTTTAGAGAAGAGAAGGGAAGGAGAAAGAGAGGGAGAGAAACATCAATGTATGGTTGCCTCTTGTACGTCCCATACAGGCTGGGGACCAGGCCTGTACTCAGGCATGTGCCCTAGACTGGGAATCAAACTGGCGACCCTTTGATTCGCAAGCCGGCACTCAGTCTATTGAGCCACACCAAGCCAGGGCTTTTTTATTTTTTAAATCCTTATAATACTTTTTCTTTTAAAGTGGCTGAGCAAATTCACAGATACTTAGAAGTACATTTTCTTTCCTGTAGAGATAGATATAACTTCATTATTCAAAGCATTCTTCAAACTTTAGGGTGCTTCACAATCACCTGGAAGCCTTGTTAAAACCAGATTGCCAGAGTTTCTGAGTTAGTAGGTCTGGAATAGGGCCCAGTAGTTTGCATTTCTAACAAGTTCCCCACTGTTGCTGATACTTCTGGATCCTGGATCACACTTTTCAAACCGTGACTCTAAGCCTCACTGGAAAAGGAGAAGAGCATGGCCAGAAACTAGTAGCTGGATATTAAGTCTTCTCAACATCATGTTCTTCCATGTCTACAAAACTATATATTATTTTCATTCATTTGCCTATTATTATCATTAAAGTTCATAAATTTATGAAATGTATATACAAAGCAAGATAACTTAAGGTATTATGTTCTGAGATTTTAATTAAAACAACTCATATAAAAATATTAAACTGGGCCCTGAATTAAACTAAGAGTAATTTATTCATAAATCTGATCATGAAATCCAATTAACCTATTTTGAACCTCTGGATTCAACTTGACACACAGGAATTTTTCATCCTTTTAAAAACTTTTTGTTACAGATTTTTCAGTAGAACAGAAGTATAATTTAATTGCTTTTTTTAAAGGGAAATATGAAATCTGATGATGACCCTCCTGCTATTCCACCAAGACAACCTCCTCCTCCAAAGATAAAACCCAGAGTTCCTGCTCCTACTGGTGCATTTGATGGGCCACTGCATAGTCCACCACCGCCGCCGCCAAGAGATCCTCTTCCTGATAGCCCTCCACCAGTTCCCCTTCGGCCTCCGGAACACTTTATAAACTGTCCATTTAATCTTCAACCGCCTCCACTGGGACATCTTCACAGAGACCCAGACTGGTTCAGAGACATTAGCACTTGTCCAAATTCGCCAAACACTCCTCCTAGCACACCCTCTCCAAGGGTACCACGTCGATGCTATGTGCTCAATTCTAGTCACAGTAATGTTGTTCATCCCCAAGCTCCCCCTGTTCCACCAAGGCAGAATTCAAGCCCTCACCTACCAAAACTGCCACCAAAGACTTATAAACGGGAGCTTTCACACCCCCCATTGTATAGACTGCCTTTGCTAGAAAACGCAGAAACTCCTCAATGATCTTAGCCATATGTAGTCATTGACACTGGAATGATATTTGTAAAGTTCTTTTTTTAATTTATTTTAAAAAAGGCATAGTATTTTAGTACTTTTTACAAATAATGCTCTTAAAAATGCTACTGATCAAATAAGCTTTTAAAAATTGGAAAAATAAAAATATAAAAGTCCTTTGCCATTATCCTCAGGTGATCAGTAGCATTGCCTTGTCTTGGATCCTCAGTGCTGCCAAATGGCCAGTATAAAGAATTTATATTTGCACTGTAGACTCTGCTAAAAATATGGTTTAAAATGAAATTGATTGCACTGAAAGGGATAGTGCATTTGTGGAATTTTTCAAATTTGAGTAATAACTGCCTAGGGTGTGTGGTGTTACTGATTTTTAAACCTCTTTGACCATCTTCCAGTTTTTACATTTAGGAGAATTGTAACACCCACTGTTCTTAAATTCTTTAATGCCATGTCTTAAATGCCAGAATTTGCTGCTGAAGACAAAAATGAAAAATAGAATGAAAAGAATAGAATGCACTGTGTTTATTTTGTCAAAATGTCAACAAAAAGACTACCTAACCCAATCTTAGAGGAGAAAAGGGCATGTATCTTATTCAGATGTGCCTTTTGTTTTTGCAGACTACGGTGTCTTTAGCAAATGAGTTGCCTATTGTTTTGGAAATCAAACAATATGCCATGTATGTACAGTTTTGTTTATATTGTATATTTGAAGATAATGCTAATAACCTATATAAATTTAAATGACTCGAGGCCTATAATACATCTGCTACTTTACTAATTCATAAATTCAAAGGGAAAGTTTCCTGTGGCATAGGAATCAACTGCCTTGCCTTCAAAACCTAGTAACTTTGTCTATAAATCTTGTGTTAACTAAAATTTTCTTAAATATTTTTTTTAGATTGGTAATATTTAAACCAGCAAATACTTAAAGCTTTATTAAACTTTTTAATCAGAGAAGTGAGTAAAACTTTTACTTGCCATTTGGACTCCTTTGTTCTAAGTGATAAAAAAAAAAGTGTGTTCTGATAGTGCTGTAGCAGCAGTTGTAAGGTAGCTGAAAGCCATGTTGTTTATTTACTGGTCTGCGGCCTTTTACTGTGCTTTGTATCAGAGTTCTTAACAAGATCAATAAATCACCCCAGTCTTAATTTTTAAAAGACTTTTAAAAGACGTGTTTTCAATATAAGGAAAAGGGGGGAGATTATTGAGTGCTGTAGAAATATTTGTACATATGTTATTTTCAGTATTTTTGTACAATTTCAATTATATAATCCCAAAGCATTTAAGTGATGTAAAGTTTAGAGGGATAACTGTCTTCACTGCTAAATGCAGTCAGCAAGCATCTAGCAACCGTTTTTGAATTTTTTAAAAATTAGGAGCATACTGGCAACTTTTGATAAACAGGATTATAGCTATCCTTGGTAAACTCTTGGAAACTGCCTGGATTTAAGGCCAGTAACTGCTGCGTGAGTCAATCTCCAACCAGGTAAAAATATCGAGGTTGGCTTGGCTTTGTTTTTTTAAAGAGCATATTATTGTACTTTGTCTGGAAAAATGACTTAAGCTAGACTTAAAATTTACGAGAGAGGGAGGCAGTCCAGCGCGCAGAGGAAGTGGTGGCCAGCCTCGGCCACGCCCGATAGCGCAGCCTTCCGGGCTTTGTGACTTCGCTCGGGAGTCTAGGGGCCAACTGCGCCACTAGAAGGCGCCGGGCTCTTCGAAAGGCCGGGCCTCAGGGTGTTGTGCGTGGGTGTGACGTCACTTCATGCGCCGCCTCCTGTTGCCGGGCAGCAATGGAGGTTACTCTGGAGTCCTCCGTGGAGGACCCAATGCGGAACTTCGTGCGGATTTTGGAGAAGACAGATGGTACGGTTCTGCGGCTGCAGCAGTATGGATCCGGCGGCGTGGGTTGCGTAGTTTGGGACGCTGCCATTGTCCTTTCTAAATACCTGGAAACGCCCGGGTTTTCCGGCGATGGGGCCCACGCGCTGAGCCGGCGGTCGGTGCTGGAGCTGGGCTCCGGCACCGGGGCCGTGGGGCTCATGGCTGCTACCCTCGGGTAAGAGCTGGTGGGAGGGGCGCTACTTTAGGAAAATGATTACTGGCTTCCCACCTTTCTGCCTACTCCTCAGTCGACGTTCTTTTATAGGGCAGATGTTGTAGTTACCGATCTTGAGGAACTGCAAGACTTGCTGAAGCTGAATATTAATATGAACAAGCATCTTGTCACTGGTTCTGTTCAAGCCAAGGTACTGAAATGGTTTGTATGGCCTTTTGGCTTGTTTTAATAACGATTTGCAGTTTGCTTTAAATTGTGTTTTGCTAAAAGCATGGTTAATAGGAAGGGGATCTTCCGGGTCTTGTTTTTAAAACAAGAACTTTTAAATTATTAAAGCAACAGTTAAAATATTTGGTTGCCATTTTTAAGGGGGGAAGAAATAGAAGACTTGACTTCTCCACCAGACTACATATTGATGGCCGACTGCATATACTACGAAGAGGTAAATATTCAATGAGAGAAATCTCTTTAGAAGATGTACCGTATTACCTGGATTCTAGAACACACATTTTAAGATACCTGAATGCAGGATATTGTCACCAGGTGCTACGTATATACACTCGTGTTTAACGTACAGGTCTATGAATCATGTTGAGAAAAGTGTTATGTGCATTTTAGTAGAGGTTTCTGTAAAGTTTTTAAAGAACTTTTGCTATTAAGATCTGTTTTTAAAAGGCTCCTTTTTTAACTTAACTGTTGCTAGTGAACATATAAAGCATGACATTGAGAATTAAATTACGTTGTAACAAAGTCATCATTCTGTGACAAAATTTATTAGACTCAGAATGATTTTTAAAAATTACCAGTTTGTGTATAGCAGTATCACTCGTTTTTTTAAATTATGAACATTGAGTCAACTTAATGTTCAGGTTAGATCAGACTTGCTTTTGTAGGTAAATTGCTGATTATTTAAATCCCAAGTTAGATTAAATAACATTAGATTTTTAATAGTGAAGTTATTTCCACTTGTTTTCCCATGGGAACTCGAAAATGAAGTTACATGACTCCTGTCTTTGGAAACTGAAGTCAATACAGTGGTTAAGAGGAGTTTACCAATCATTAGTTACAGAGTCTTTATGTTCTTTGTTGGATTGATTCAAAGATGGGTAAATTGTAGGGGAGGTATAATTATACCCTCTACCTTCCCTAGACCTTTTTACAATAAAAATATGTATTTTTTAAAGTCTCAAACAAAAATCATATTCTATTTTTTGAACAGTCTTTGGAGCCGCTGTTGAAAACTCTAAAAGATCTCAGTGGACCTGAGACTTGTATTATATGTTGTTATGAACAGCGAACAATGGGAAAAAATCCAGAAATCGAGAAAAAATATTTTGAGGTGGGTACTCTGCTAGATTGATCTTGGTAGTGATTATCCTTCAGGGATAATCACCCCTCCTTCAGGGAGACTCTGTGTGACTGTGTTCAAGTGTATTACGGTGATTTTGAGTCAGGAAAACATTCTGCTTTAAAGAACCCAAGGAGGATTCTTCAAAGCCCACCATTCTGCTAAGCCCCTTCCCCTTTTTCATCTTTTCTGAGCCTTTATTTCTTTTTATTTTCTAATAAATTGATATACAGAACAATGTAAAATAATAGTGGTGATGATGCCCTTGTGTTTTCTGAGAAAGTTTGCAATGTTTCTTTATTAAACATGCTGGCTTTGGGGAATGTACTAATGATGTATATATTACTTTTGGAGAATTCATCATAGAAAATGGAATATGATGTTTTTACTTCTGTTTTCCTCTGCGTTTTTGTGAAAACGTCAACCGAGATATCTTATCTGTTTTCAGGCTTTGATATTGTTTTGTTTTTTAAAATAAAAATTTACAGGGTTTGCCAAAGTAGTACATAGAGTCCCATGTATCTTTCATCCACCCTCCCCCAGTGGTCACCCAAACCGTTTTTATGGACAAAAATCCATCATATTACAAATGACTCCTCTTGTGAGTACACACACATAGCCCTGTAGTTTTAGCCACTGAAAGGACTTTGGTTACACGAGAAAGCAAATGTGTGACTCTGCCTCAGCCTCAGATACATGCTGAAATTTTTTTAAGGTTTTTCTTGAATGTTAGGAATATTAATTTCAGCCTCAGATACATGCTGAAATTTTTTTAAGGTTTTTTTTTGAATGTTAGGAATATTAATTTCAGCCTCAGATACATGCTGAAATTTTTTTAAGGTTTCTCTTGAATGTTAGGAATATTAATGAACTTCTGAAACTTGATCATTGAAAGTTTTACATTAAACAGTTTTGATTAAGTTTAAAAAATGTAAAATGCACATATATCAAGTGCTCAGCTCAATTTTTCATGTGTATACACCCAAATAACCACTACCCAACATAAGGATATGGAACATTTTTATGACCACAAAAGGATCCCATGTTCCCCCTTCCTAGTCAGTACCACAAACAACCACTGTTCTGACTTCTGTCACCACAGGACAGTTCATATTATTGAATTTGAAGTATATCTCTTTTAAATTTATAGCTCCTTCAACTAGACTTTGACTTTGAAAAAATTCCTTTGGAAAAACATGATGAAGAATATCGAAGTGAAGATATTCATATTTTATACATCAGAAAGAAAAAATCGGTAAATATATTCCTGGCTCTATCTCTGAAGGAGGTTTCTTTAGCTGGATGCTGTCTCTGAGCTTATGTGTGATATAGATGTTGATTTTGATGTAGGGAAATAGCTATGACAATTCACTGGACTCAGGCGTTAATTGAATATTAAGGTCACTTTATTTGGCCTTGGGTTCCTCCTCTAAAATGAGGCAGGCTTCTTCTATAAAGGTCCTTTCCAGCTATAAATTATATAGCTTTATAATTAGGCATTACCTTAGACAAGTAACTTAGCTATTTATAAGTTTATATTATTGGATTGGCCAAAAAGTTATTAGGTTTTTTTTCCTGTAAGATGGCTCTAGTAGCACTTAATTGTTTTTAAATTGTCTTTTATTAGAAATAGTTTTTATTTGAAACAATTTTATTAGACTGTATTATGACAGCTGTCATATCAGCATGCATTGAAAAACTTTTAAAAATTGGTGAATTTTTGTGCAGCCATTTTAATATTGAAGATAGAAGAAAATAAACAGTATTTTTGGCATATTGTGCTTTATTATTTCAAGAAAGGTAAAAACACAACTGAAATGCAAAAAAAGATTTGTGCAGTGTATGGAGAAGGTGCTGTGGCTGATTGAAAGTGTCAGAAATCGTTTGCAAAGTTTCATGCTATAGTTTTCTCACTGGATGATGCTTCATGGTTGGGTAGGCCAGTTGAAGTTGATAGTGATCAAATCGAGACATTAATTGAGAATAATCAATATCATAACATGTGGGAAGTAGCCAACATACTCAAAATACCCAAATAAGTATGAAAAAATGTGTCCTTTATTTTACAGAAAAAAACTACATGAACTTTTTGGCTGACCCAGTATTTCTTTGAGATTTTTAAGTGCCAGCTCTGACCTTTGTGAACTTTTTCCAACCATTCAAAAATTTTTAATCGTCAAAGTAAAATATAACAACCCTTCCCTGGTGGTCCAGTGACTAAGATTGTCCACTTTCACTACTGCAGCTCAGGTTCAGTTCTTGGTGAGGGAAGTTAATATGTTGAATCACTATGTTGTACACCTGAAACTGATATATTTATGTCATCTACACTTTAATAAAAAATTTCAAAAAGTAAAATGAAACAAGGCAAATCTGTCCAATAATGAAAAATGCATTCAGTTAAGTAGAATTTTATCTTACTCTCTTTTGTTGCTTCCTTTACTTGTTATATTTTATGCAGGTTGCTTCTGTGATACCTAGAGTTTGAGTCTGTAGAAAGGAAGAATTGTATCCATTTTTTCTTCCAAGCACCTTTTGTATATGTGACTGGTTAGTAATAAGGCAGGGGCATGATTAGTTTTATGAATTAAAGATGTTAAACACTTTTTTCTGTTATCTTTGCTTTGATTGAATTTGTGATGAAGTTTTCTGATTATTGCAAATTTTAGCCTAAAGCAAACAACTTGTAATTTGGGGGATCAAGATTAGATGTTAGGACTGTAAGGTCAAAGGAGTGGTGGGATCAGTAATTCAGATCAATGAGCGCTTATGTGGCATGATGCTGGAGATAACAACAATTAAAAAATGGCTTGTGACTTAATCGAACTAGTTTTAGCTGAAGTTGCATAGTTTTAAAAGTAGTTTTTTTTTGAGGCATAAAGAATTTGTCTTCTAAATATATAAAGCTTTATTTTGGCAAAGAATCCTTTTTTTTAAAGATTTTATTTATTTTTAGAGGGGAAGGGAGGGAGGAAGGAAGAGAAATATCAATGTGCGGTTGCCTCTCATGTGCCCCCTACTGGAGACCTGGCTTGCCGCCCAGGCATGTGCCCTGACTGGGAATCAATTCCATGACCATTTGGTTCGCAGGCCAGCACTCAATCCACACCAGCCAGGGTCTTTTTTAAAAATTGATATAATTTATGTACCATAAAGTTTACCCTTTTAAAAAGTGTACAATTCATTGTTTTTAGTATATTCACAGAGTTGCACAACCATGACCACTTTTCTAATTTTAGACATTTTCTTTACCCCAGAAAGAAACCCCATACCTGTAAGCAGTCACTTCCTGTTCCTGCCTCAGTCCCTAGTTTGTGGTTACCAATTTATTCTGTCTCTGTGGATTTGCCTGTTCTGAACATTTCATGTACAGGTATCCCTTGCTTTCTGAAAGTTCACATTATGCCATTTTGCTTTTATGAAAGACCTACATTAGTATGGTAATGGCTTCTGTAAACGAGAAAATTCTGTTTGGATTTCTTTTGGTTAGTGAAAATAGATACTAATGTAGGTCTTTCATAAAAGCAAAGTGGCATAATTGAAACTGGGGTACTCTCTACTTTATGCCATTTCAGCTTGTGAAAGGCTACTTAGGAATTTACGGTGGGGTGGGGGTTCGGGGGAGACACTTGTAAATGAAATCATACACTATGTGGCTTTTCTGGGTCTGGCTTTCATTCAGCACAGTTTTTAAGGCTTGGCTATGCTGTAGCATACTTCGTCACTGAACTCCCTTTTTATAGTTGAATAATATTTTTGTATGGATATTCCATACCTTATCCATCCATTTATGAGTTAATAAGCCTTTTAGTATTTTTCACTTTTTGGTTCTAATGGGTAATGTTGCTATGAATATTCATGTAAACATTTTTGTGTGACATGTTTTCACGTCTTTTGGGTATATTCCTAGAATAGAATTGCTAGGTCATATGGGAACTCTATGTTTAACTTTTTGGGGAATTGCCAAACTGTATTTCAAAACTAGTATAACATTTTGCATTTCCGCTAGCAGTATGTGAGAGTTCCAGTTCTCCATATCCTCACCAGTACTTTTGTCATTGTTCATCTTTTTGATTATAGCCATATCAGTAGGTACAAAATGGTATTTCATTATGGTTTTATTTTCATTTCCCTAATGATTAATGATGTTGAGTTTCTTTTCACATACTTAACTGGCCATTTGTGTATATTTATAGAAATCATAGTTGAAAAGTTTTTTATATATTCGGGATACTAGACCCTTAACCAGATACATAATTTCCAAATACTTTCTCCCATTCTGTAAATTTTTTTCATTGTTTTGGTAGTATGTCCTTAAGCACAGAGGTTTTTGATTTTGTGCTTAAGATCATGTCAAATGTATCTGTTTTTTCTTCAGTTGCTTGTGTTTTAGATATCAGCAAAGAATCTCTAAACATTATGCATGACTGTTCTTTTGAATTTAGCCATTACTAGGCATATTAACCTAGTATTAAGTACCCAGTAAATACTTCATTTTTAATAATAAGAATTTAATCTGTAAAGTGTCCTTTTTTTTTCTTATAGAAATTTTCATCATGAAGTCTTTAATCATCTTACCCAAGCCTCTAACAACCTGGGTAAGCTAAAGATGTGAATGGAGCATGTGAATATAGCATGGGAAGATTGTGTTCACAGATTTTTCCAGCATGTCCTTAAAGATCTGATATTTAGACGACAACCATCATGGGCTGCAGCAAAACGAAAAATGACCACCTGCCTGCCTGCCAATCGGCCTGAAATCCAACTTAATTTACTTTTAGCTCAACATTGAGTTCTGCTTATTGTGTATTAATCATTCCTCAAATAAAAATAGGTATTGAGGTTAGCATAAAGTCAGCCAAAGATAAACAGTGAAGCAGCATGATTGATTTGGTTTATTTTCAGGAAATTAGAGATACATTTTATTTAATTTCCAAAGAAAAATATCTGTTGCTATATAATAAAGTTTAAATTCAAACCAGTAAATTTTAGTTTGTCTTCAAAATAGGTAAATCTAAAAGGTTTTCCTTTTAACATAATTATGGAGTAGTTTTTATCATATGTGTGTTTCTCATTGATTTTATGATAGCTTTAATACTTAAATGTTCTTGCCCATTAAAAAAACTGAAAATGTTTTGTATACTTACATTGACCAAAGTTTTAATCTTTTCTTCCACCATACATGTCTATATGAGTTAGATAGTAAATTGTACTATAGTGAGTTGGTAAATGAAATCAGGAGATTATGAGGGGTGGGAAGCCATCATTATAAAATTTTTTCATATGAGAATGAGTGAGAATAAAAAGCCCATTTTCAGGCTCTTGCACTTACATGGCTCATGAATGGCCAAAAAGTTCGTTATGGTTTTTTTTCCCGTAAAATAAAAGACATTTTTCATTTTCACCAATAACTTTACTGATTTGGATATTTTGAGTATGTTGGCTCTCTCCTGCTATTGGCATCTAGTGGGTAGAGGCCGGGGATGCTACTAAACATCTTCTAGTGCGTAAGACAGCCCCACAGCAAAGAATTATTTGGCCAAAATGTCAGTAGTACCAAGAAACTTGGCACACCACTTTTTTGATATATTCAGTCTGTCACAGCATCTCCATACACTGCACAAATCTTTTTTTGCATTTCGGTTGCGTTTTTACCTTTCTTGAAATAAAGCATAATATGCCAAAAATGTTGCATATTTTCTTTCATCTTCAATATCAAAATGGCTGCACAAAAATTCACATTTTAATTTTCTTTAATGCATGCTGACAATGATAGCTGTCACAGTACAATCTTAACAAAATTGTTCCAAATGAAGTGACAACTAAGCACTACTAGGCCATCTACCGGCAAAACATAACAGACTTTTTGGCCAACTGAATATATCTTCCCAGAAAAAGTGGCTAAAAATCACTGGTGTTAACTTGTTTACATGAAACAGAGAAACATTTTTAAATAACCACAAATGTAGTTCTGTATACATTTAGGAAATGATTTTGATTCTGTGTAGTCTTTTTTTATGTTATGATAATCGTTTGCTCACAGACTGATCTGTATAGAACTTATCTCACCAGTTCCAAAGAGTAATAGTGAATGATAAAATAATGGTACTTATAGGCATTGGTGCTATCTAGGTTGCACATTTTATGTGTTAAAATAAACTTTCTTTTTGAGATCCTGTGACTCTGCGAATGTTTCAGAAATTGCTTTGAAGGAAATGAATTTCTAAAGCAGATAACTACTTTCCAGAAGAGCAAAACAATCTTCTTTAGAGAAATTAAGGATTAAAGTCAAGAGAATAGTTCTTTCCTTCAGGCTTACTTCAATCTTTAGTTTGTTTTGCTGTTCTTTTTCAAATACTTTGTTCATACTGCCCTTAGCATTTTATTAATGAATTTACTAAGCAGTTATTACAACCTAAATATGTGATAATTTGTTACAGAGAGCACCAGCTATTATTAGTGAAGTCTTAGGACAAATGACCACTTCCTAGCTTGTTCTATAACATTATGGAACTTGTAAAACTAAGTTTGGTGTTGACCAGCTGTAGTAGCCTCCCAGATTCTTCAGATCCTTTTTCACCCTCCTCCCCTTTTCACTATATTTGTGATAGACAGTCTGCCTGTGGGTCTTCGGCCTAAAGTGCCCCTTGACATTCCTGTGTAAAAACCCAGCTCCTTTATCTTGGATGGGTGCACCTTACACCCCAAAACTTCCTGGAGGAGTCAGTCTGAGGTCAGCCTCACCGGAATCACACCTTTGTGTGTGCTTCCCTTCCTGTCCTATTCCCAGGTCCCCACATTCTAAGATCAGGCAACTACTACTGATAGTTAGGACCAGTGAGCCCTGCAGGGCTTACTGGAAAGTCCCAGTTCACATAACATGCCCTATCACTAATAACCATTTCCCACAAGGTCAGGGAGGCCTGGAGTAGGAGAGGTCTTTTGCAGGAGTGCAGTGTAGAAGGGGATTTAGTTCAGTCCTTTGGGCTAAACAAGGTGCATCTGCACCTAGAAACCATGGGAGGGAGGCCTGAGAATAGTTCAATATTCTCAAAATAATGAGGGACCAGCGTTTTTCCCACCTGGGTGGATTTGTGTTTACCCAGCAGATCAGCATGTTTGTTGTTTTATCCAAAGCATAGGAATGGAGTTGGAGAGGTGATGGGACTGTCAGGCACAGAGGTATTGAAGGTGGATCCTGCCAGCCTGAGTTGATACGTGAACTGGGGGCTAGAGAACTGCAGCAACTTGAGGTTAAAAGGCAGGTGCAACAGATGAGTGTGGTGCAGTGCCTCTTAGCTGGGAGTCAGCCAGAATATAACTAACTCTCAAATCTCTAAAGGCAGCCAGTGCAGGGTAGAGCTGCTCAGGGTTGAGCCTCTGGCTTTTCACACTAGTGGGGGTTGCACTGTGCACAGTGAAATCCCTGAGGCACTTATCAGAACACAGAGCCAATTAGGGATTCCCCCATAATAAGGCAATGTTTCTCAAACTAGACTATACGTGGTGTCACCTGGAAAATTAAAAGCAAACAAAAGCCATGTTCAGGTCCCATCCCAGTCCAATTATATCAGAGACGTGCTATTTTGTTAAAGGGCTCCAGATGGCTTTAATGTGTAGCCTAAATTGAGAGCTACTGCAGTAAGGAAATCTAGCATCTTCCCAAAGAGAAGAGAGCAAAGGGAAGAGAAATATGAAAAACTATCCTTAATTAGAGTAGGCCTGTACTTGTAGGGAAGTAAAGACTTTTGAATTCAATGTGGAATTTTCTATGAAATAGATTTTAAAATAAACAGGACTGAGCTTTAGAAACGGATTATCTGAAAATTCAGAGAATCTGGCCAAGAAGTTAAAGGTGAAACTACTGAGAATAGTAAGAAGCTAGGAAAATTCCTTGGCAAGTGGAATAGGGAAACAGATAGCTGAACAATCTGGCTGAGCAATTTACAACCAGATGCAAAAGGTCACCTCCCTAGAGGTAACATCTAGGTCTTAGTTGTATTTCAGCTCCAGGCCCAGAAAAGCAGCAAAACCAGGTGGGTGATGTGAAGGACCAGCTGCAATGACCTGCCCTGGCACTGACCAACCAATAAAGACCAGAATGCTAAAAGGACACACTTGGAAAACTGCCAAATATTCTGCTAGAACCTCCCCCACCCCCCCACCACCACTAACACACCTACCCTAAGACAAAGGACCCAGTGCACTGCATGCTCTCTCTCTGGGGAGCAGCCAGCGCCATTACCTTTCCTTCACTTCCTCCCCCACAGGCACACATCTCCTAAACTCAAAGGGTTCCCATGAGACTTGCAATCTGGAGAAATGGGCAGCAACAGCTTCTTCCAGGCTAATCCCCTGAACCTGTCCCCCAAGTCCCCTTTTCTCAGACTCCCAGTGAGTTAAGGCATCCCAGCCCAGGCTCTCCTGTTGCATGTTCTAAACTAACCCCTTCCTTGTTCCACTGTCCTGTTTTAATAAATGTACCCTCATAGTACCTGGAATCATGTGAATTCTTTCCTACAAAAAGTCAAGACTCCACACATTACAGCTGGCCCTAGGCAGACCCACTTAGGGTGAGGCCCCTGCCTGGTAGCACTACTCAAGTGGAAAGGGGAATTCAACAGCTGGAAATAGAAAATCATTAACAGGTATAGTCACCAATGATTTGGGTCTCCTCTATATGCAACTTACAATGAAAGATCTTGGGGCTGCATAGCTCTGATTCTTAACCTGCTATAGTTCATAACCAAGGGTCCATAGATCATGTGTTTGGTGAACTTGGGAGTGAAGTTACTTTTAATTCTTTTAGGAAGTACTGTGTTAATAATCCAAAATGTTTGGTAATGGGTTTTTTTTTTAACACAGCATACCTTTTAAATTTCTCTTACCCTTTTCCTTGAAAGTTTTCTTGTTACATGATGCCAGATACAATATTAAACTCAGACTACAGATGGGGTCATTTAAAGAATGAGGGTCATAGAACTGTGACTTGTTGTTCTAAAGGTTCCCTGTAGATGGCAATGCTTGACTTTATCTTTAAATAGTTTATAGAGAGGAAGTTGTTAAAATAGAATATTTTGAAGTGGAATCACACTTGCATTCTAAAGGTGAATTTAATTGGGTTTTAAAGAATAAACCTACCTACCTGTTATGAGTTGCTTTCAGAATATAACATGGTTGTCTTAGACTGTGTGGGCTGCTATAACAAATTACTGTAGCTCGGATGGCTTATAGGCAACAGAAGTTTATTTCTCACAGTTCTGGAAGCTGGGATGTCCAAGAGCAAGGTGCCCACTTCCTCATAAGCCGCTGTTCTCAATGTAACCTCACATGGAAGAAGGGGCAAGTGATCTCCTTGGGGTTCCTTCCTTTTATGGGGCACTAGTCCCTTTTATGAGAACTTCAGTCTCATGATTGCTTCACCTCCCAGAGGCCCCACCTTCAAATACCATCACATTGGGCGAATTGGGGTGGGTGGGGCGGCAGGGTGGACACAAACATTTAAACAATAACAATAGTATAAGTGAAATTGGATTTCTAATAAAATTATTTGATTTATCTTTTTTGTCCATTGCATTCTGATATGCCTTTTGAATTTTTGAATGTCATTCGTAAAGCTACATAAATTGCAATTTATAAGCCTTTTTTTCTGTAATCTTCTGAGAGAGACAGACATTTAAGTGGCTAAATTCAAGTTCAGAAAATTCATCTCGAAAGTACCTTTTATGTAATGCATGGTTTTACATCTGAGGTACTTGAAACTCTGTGGAAGATATCAGTGTATCTTCCTCACTAGAGTTGTTAGTAGCTTTTACATCCAAACTAAAGTTCTGTCTTTGGCTATACCACACTCCCGTAAGCTGCGTGCAGCTATTTGACTTCCAGTTTTTCTTTTGCAAGGAACATCAGAATTTGAAAGAGTTGTTGATTCATTGGTAATAAACATTGTAAATGTAGAATACTCCATTTCCATGCCATAGAGACCTTCATGCTAATATGAATACAGGAAAAAATTGGCAACAAAATTTTACTGAAAATTAATCAAGTAATGGAGAAGCAAAGTTTCCACTTTACATAATATTTTGGGTAGGAAAGCAGTAAATTCTCAAATGATTTTCACCAGTTAGGTTAAAACTGTTACTCATTTATAACAGTTTAAAACTGTTGTGGTCATTTAAGACATTGTCTTAGTCTTTTGTGTTGGTAGAATTCTGTGAAGATCTAGTGTGTCCATCGATTGTGAGTTACATTTTATGTAATTCATTATTAATAACAAGATAGTTTTCAAAATAATAGACTTTAAAAATATTAGAGCAGATTGTTTCAA